TCTAAGGACATAGGCAGACAAGGTTCTTTGGGTGAATCTGATATCTTTTATTAGACCAACTTAAATAGCTGGAAAACAATTTTTAAGCAAGCTTTCGGGTTCAAAAACCCTTCGTTAGGCTAAGGAAGTTTCAGCAGTTAGTGTGACTAATCACTAAAAGTGATTTTTTAGCAATTTGAGGATCTTGTGGTATGACTTGTTACAGGGTTTGGCTAGGTATACAAAGGAATGAATAATCTGAAAAGTCTTTGAGCCAGTGATGCTTAGTAGCACTGCAAGTTTTTGGTTATCATTAGTAATCTTATTAGCGGAGCAGTTCTTTTCTAATGGTATAGCTACTTTCTGGTCTGCTGAAAAACTGAGGGAGAGATTTTCAAAATCACCTAAGGGACTCAGAAATACGAATCTGTAATTTTAAATCATGCTCCCAAATCCCTTCAGGCACTTGTGAGGAACTCACTCCTAGCTCCCTCAGTAGTATTTTTGAAGGCAATGATCGGTTTGCTTTCACAACAATAGGAAAGGTTCAGAGTGAATGTTTATTAAAGAGAAAGAGGCAATTTGGGGAAGACAAAATGTTCATATGTGTTCTTACTATTCAGGTTGAAGATATTTAGCATATTCTTTTAGTTAACGGTATATTTTAAAAATCTGAGAATTTTCAAACATAGTATTTTGTCCCCTTATAGTAATAATAATAAAATATTCTTAAATTTGATCCATTCTCTGGAGGAATATGACCAAACAGATTCCATACCAAGTCAGATCACTGCTAGTATACAAGAATCCTTAGCTGGCACAGTACGTGCAATCAATGGGAACTTTTCTTTTGACAATGGGTTTTGGATCAGTTGCATAGAGATGGTTTCTATTTCTCCCTACTAATGGGCCTTGAATAGCGAATGTTCAGAGAGAACGGAAAAGGATGTGGCTTGAATGCTGATGTACACTTTTGCTATTCTCACCTGGTGGACAGTCTCTTAGAGCTGCCATCAGACAGATCTGAAAAATTAGCTCACTCCCAGCAACCTCCCTACACTCTGGTGGTCAGAAACTGCATGCAACAAGGAGTGTGGGTCATTGTCTCTTGCAAATCTTCTGGAATATTACTGAATGGTGTTCAAAGATTATTTAAGCTATGTTTTAAACCCATTTATTTCATCTCTAAGCTTTATTTAATCACTGAATCTATCTTATTATAATAACATTTACATAAGATTACTTTCAGCATTCATTTTTTAAAATAAATGACTGGGAACAAAATTCATACATGATTGCTGAATAACAAGGAAAGAATTGTGAATGCTAGAATATGCAGTAGTACACTGATTAGAAGATAACATTAGGTGCAAACTTACATAAGAATTTGCCCAGCTCCTTGACTATATAAGTCTTAGCATAGCACTTATTTTACACACACAATGTGCCCTCTAACAAAAACATAAAAATTAAGATGTCTTCCTCAGAACAGTCTTTTGAACAGTAAGTCACCATGTGTGTTAAGAATTATTTGGAGGGGTGAAATAAGGATAAAAGTTCATCTCTGATACATTTTAAAAAAATCCAGATTTTTTCCGTACTTCATAAACTGTGACTTTCTTTAAGATATACCCATTGAAAAATCTATCCAGAATATCTATTTCAAGAGATTATATAAAATAGTTGCTGCTCCCTGGGAAAAAGACTGGACAGTAAAAGTCTTGTAGGATTTCTATAAAATTATTTCCTTTGCAGACCTTTTACATTTCCTAAATGAAATGACCAGATAGTCTTGCTTGGGTTCCTACCAATCAGCAGTTTGTTTAATAAAATTCTCCACCAGAATTTGCAACAGAGAAAGAAGTCTTGGCTCTGGATAATGTAAGGGAGCCCAGATGAAATGTTAAAAGCTCACATTTCTGCTTCCTGCCACAGCATCTGCATGCAGATAAAACTGCCTGCTTTCCCTTTATGATTCTCACATATCATGCCTTAAGGTCATGCTAAGGCCTTCTAGCAACCATGTGCGCTCATACCTTTATCCACCTGAGAAATCTCAATGAACAGGATTACTCATTTGTGTAATTTTTTGCCAAAGTTCATACAAAACCAAAATATGCTGTCAACCTAAAACTGGACTATTCAGCTTTCATTAGAGTGAAGAGAAAGATTTTTTAAATCACTCAGGTACATCAGAAAAATACACCAATTGTGATAGCCACAACTTTTTTTTTTTTTTTGTTTCCAAGATAATTCTTGTAACCTCGAACACACAGCTTGTAATATGTAATGCTAAATCCCAGAACAAAATTAGAAGCATCTAATGTTGTAATTCTGAAAAACAGTGACAAAAAGCTTTGCACTTCGCAATCTTGGGAAGTTTTTGTTTTTTTGTTTTTTTGTTTTTTGTTTTTTGTTTTTTTGTTTTTTTTGTTTTTTTAGAAACTTGGTGAAAATGAGTAGCTGAAGTCAAAATACTGCAGTTGATCCTGTATCTTTCAACTGTGCAAGTTATGATTCAACAGGAAACAGATACTTAAAGCAAAAAGTTCAGCATGCTGAAGATTCTGCTGTCTCAAGTGGTTCACAGGCCTCAACCACAGCTTTGCATTCTGGTCACAAAAAATTATATTAATAGGCCTATGCTTATTGGTTGCTGTTTTTAGCATATAAATACCAGAGCCTTAGCAACACCAAGCTTTAAAAAGCTGAGTCCTACCTTATTATCTTTTAGCCTCTTTACAGAATACCCACAGGCCACAAATATACCAAACTTAAGATACATTATCTCTTCTCTTAAAAACTGTGGTTAAAAGTGTACGGATAAAATCATACTTGAAAATGCTGATATCTCATCTGAATATTTTTGCACACGAATTGAAGGAAACGTATTTCTGAATTTATACTGGTATTCCACAATACAGAGCTATTTAAAGATCAAACATGTATTTCACCTAACACAGAAAAAAGGTTTCTTTTGTAAAGATAAAGGTTATTACATGCTTAAATTTACATTACATATAAGAAAGCTCTAGTAATCCACACAGCATCTTTAATGGTGAACATTAAGACACCTGTGCATATATAAAACATGAACCTAGAAAGCACTGACCATCTCCTATAAAACCTTGAGCACTGTCAAGTACATTTGAAGTCAACAAAAATTGTAGGTGCTGATTACCTCACAGGTGGGACCTACTGTTTTCCATGACCAAACTTATAATCAATTAAAAAAATATATAACTTTAACAGCAAAGCAGTAGCTGTAGGATTATTAATCAGATTCTGAACTATAATAAGAATCTGTTATATAAACACAATGAATGAACCCACAAAGGAAAAAAGCTAAAAGCTGCATCCTTTGCATAGGTCCATTAACCTCAGTAGGAGTATACCAATTTCAGACAACTGAGGCTCTGTCCTAGGTATTCAAAATCTTTACACAACACTGGTAAATTCTCAATGCCAAACACAGAAAAATTAACATTTGTAAATGACAAAATGTCAGGAAGTCCTATTTAATGTCTCTGAAAATTAAGTTACTAAATCTCCAATATTGTCCTTTTAGATACACAATGTTTTTAACAACTAAAAAACCCCACTATCCCACTGAGAATAAAGAAAAGAAAACATGGGAAAAATTTAAGTTGGATGATTTATTTGTTCACTCTTCAAGTCAGCATATATGAAAAAGAAAAATGAGTAGGTGAAAGATTTTAAAATGGTGTATGTTGTACCTTCTTGCTTTCCTGATTTATCCCAGTCAGCGTTGCTTGGACATGACGCAGCCCTGCCATGTTTTTTAATCTGATCACTGAAAGAAACAGAGACAAAAAATCTACTATGGGATAAATAACCAAATAACCAAAATGCTTCCTTCTCCAAACGCTGTTAATATGAGATCAGTATGTTCTCCAATTAATAATTCAGTATCTTTTCATGATTTCATAAGTAATTATTTTGCCCCTCCATACAACAAGCTACTTGCATTTACATATCACTTCCTTTAGTACTTAAAAAGAACCTTATGAAACAAAGACACATTTATACCACAAGAGGTCACTATTATGGAATGCAAAAAGCATGCATTTTTCTTTTGAACAAGTAAAACTGAGAAGTGAAAGCAACAATATCATGAACAGTTCTCATTTGCATCCTGTGAAGCAAGATTTTTGTAAACTAAATCTGGACTCATTTTAAACTTGCAAATTTAGCTTTTTAGAGACTTACTATAATATATTCAATAAGAGTAATGAGTGTTTATAAAAATAATTCACTTAACAGATTTTATTAATACTATTCTTTAGAGACAGAAAAAAAAGACAATTGACTAACATTATTCAATTAAAAAAGTTATAAATTACAAATCTTTCTGAGAGCCAGAGCTCACTGCATAATAATTGTTCTTTCTTGCATCTACTAATCTGTACTACCTACCCATTGCTTTGTAAAGCAATTTTATGGCTAATACTATGTTTCCATCTGAAAAGATTCTTGTTGTTTTTGTGATCACCTTTTGGGAAAAAGGGAACTAATACATGGACATACTTGATTTCACCACTGCTGATAAAACTATTGTGTTTCCCTTATCTATCTACATACCCAGCACTGATTTTTAGGAACAGTCCGGTAGCAAGTGCCCTTTAAAATTAAGATGCTAAGATCTTCCTTCTTTAGACTTTGCCAGAAAGGTTTTATAAGCAGGGATCCAGGTTTTCCATTTCCCAAGGAAAACAAGAGAAAACTACAGATTTCCCCTTTTTATCAGAGAAAACTCAGATTTCTCTTTTTAGCAGAGAAACCCGTGGATTCCCTGCTTTTGCAAACAGCTCTGCAGGCTGGTTGAGCTCCAGCATGCAAAAGCTGTTTGCAAACAGGGCAGGAAACCCCAGCCCTGCCCAGAGGGGGAAGGGAGGGCCTTAGACTCTCAGTCAGCCACAGCTCTGCTTGGGTCAGCTCAGTCTCACCCTTCTCCTGAGCCTGAGGTAAGTGGGGCTTGCAGGGGGCTGGGGGCCCCTCTGGCAGGGCTGAGGGGTTGCAGTTCATGGCTGGGGGGAGCCAGAAGCCGGCCCCACCCCCACCTAAGCAGGCAGCAGCAGTGGGGGAGCCAGATCCATGCTGCTTCTGCTGCAGCTACCTGCTAGTGGGGGCAGGGAGCTGCAGATTTGGGGCCCTGGCAGCTGGGGCCCCCTTCAGCAGTGCTGGGGGGCAAGGCAAGGACTGTGGGTGAGGGGTAAGAGGCACGAGTAGGGTGGGGGGGTGGAGCTGAAAGGAGAGTCACTAGGGTGTTTGCCCAGAAACTCTCTCTCACCTTCCTTCACTGTAAGTTTAGCAGGGAAAAGGGAACCTTTTTGGACCAAGGAG